ACTAAACAAACAGATTTTTAGTGTTTTTAAAATTTTGAGAACAAAAAACTATTTCCGAGATAATAACCAAACATAACCCAAGTTTCGCTGGCTGTGGGCCCCTTCCACATAATAAGAGTAAGAGCAATGCATTGCTAACTTATTACATTTCATCCATTGGCGCATGTATGAATCGAGGGATTTAATCTGAGGAGGCCGGTCTTCTAAACTTTTGAAAAAATCGAAATCGAAGGTGAGGAGCTTATAAAGAGTATTCATAGCCAGTAACACCAAAAAAAAGAGTTGTTCACAAGCAAAAAAAAAAATTCAAATAAGAGGGACTTTCCAAACCTTAGAGTGGCACTTGTCATAGTCTGGACCGCCTATATGCATATCTCTTCATGTTAAGGATCATGGTCGCTTCGCGTTGGATGGATAGTCAGATTATCGATTGAAAGGATNCCTATATGCATATCTCTTCATGTTAAGGATCATGGTCGCTTCGCGTTGGATGGATAGTCAGATTATCGATTGAAAGGATCTGTATACATGGATGAGCCCAAGACCCACTGGCTTAAGCTTTTGGGTCAATATAGGATTCTAGTATATATGTATTTGANTGAGCCCAAGACCCACTGGCTTAAGCTTTTGGGTCAATATAGGATTCTAGTATATATGTATTTGACATTTGGGGTCTCCCCTACTCCCAAATATTTCAGCCAACTGATTAAAACTTGGTTCCTTGTGCAGTAGAAACAAGGGATGACCACATCAGACCAGATCGGTGTGCTTATATTGGATTCAAATAGTCGAAACCCTGAGAGGAGGAGGAGAATCTAGTAGGCCTGCTTTGACAATTCCTTACTGCATTTCAACCGCCCTTCTCCTACATGAGAATGTCTAGCCCACCCAAACCACCCCATTTGGAAGGAGATGAAAACAGGAAGATAAGGGTTTCAGGCGACCAGTGACAAGGTTTCAACTGCAATTGACAATATAAGATCCAACTGGAAAATATGAAATATTTTGATTGTGTCTTCCAGCAAAGATCTCAAGGCAATAACCACCTCTTTAAAAATACTACCTTATGTCTATAATCAAAAAAAAAAACCTCAAGATATGCCATATGTCTTGGCATTGCTGAGAATCGAATAGAACCTCAACACATAAGATTTTTCAAGAAGAGGAAACAAGACTACGGTCCCAAGTTCCCTACCTCCCCCCCCCCCCCCC